GTGCTGTTTTCACATCAAGATGATTTCTACTGATTTTATACCCACAATAGTATAATAGTATGCTACAACTATGCCGCAAAAGACTTCTATTTCTCCTCCTCATCCTCCTCAGCAGGGATGACGCTTGGCAATCAAGTAATTCGAGTTGTCCCTTCTACGAGAAACATGGCCATGGAGTAGTATTATCTCATCCATAGTGGACACTGAACTGGTGGGGTGGCCAGGGTAGCACCCCAATTTAATACCCAAGTTCGCAGGACGTGATCTGAGCATGGTATTGACGCAACTAAACACGTAATTACGAATTGCCACAACGCGTGGTCTGAGACGTGTTCGGGCGTAGTACATCGATAGTACGAACGGGTCGAGCGCTAGAGACGCCACCATGATCATAGCGAAAGCGTGGTCAGTCGCAGACATCTCCATGGACGTATTGACATCGTGCTTGAGAAGTGACAATTTTCACGCACCCGACACGCTTGCGATATGATCATTAAGTTCGGTACTACGCTCGAGTTACGTGGGTACTACGCCTTCCATCGTCTCTAATACGCCCGCACTCCGCTGTCTTTCCGCCACGCTCGCACCACAATTGTTTTCAACATGCTCAAAGTTTGGCACGCTCTCACCGCTCACGCTGACTGCCCACGCTCGATCGCGATCGCAGTACGTCCATAGACGTTCATACTGCGTTCTACAGCGTATTCCACCACGCCTCTTAGAGCGTAGTGAGATCGGGGCCATGGCTGTGACGCGGGGTATAACTAACATAATTATGCCAGCTGCCTGCCATCAAGATGATGGAATAGCAGCGTATTACTGCCAAAGACATGGTATATGAGCAACCTTTGAAAAGACAGAACGAGAAGACGAGAAGAGAGAGGTTATCTGCATCAATCATGTGTCTCATCATATCTATTAGCCATACTTTGACAACCAGCTGATCTTCAGAATCTCTGAGTGCCTCACGGACTCCTCCTCCTTATTCTTATCCTTGTTTTTCTCCTTCTCGCGCCAATGCCGACTTTGAGGGCTTCTTTTGCTGGCTCGGCCAAGATGTACTTATATGGATAGGTGTTCGCTTTCTTGCCCAGTTCATCCTTTGGAAATGTGATAGGTACCAAGCAGATAGTTGCCTGGCACTGCCAGCCTTAGCCGACTCTGAAAGCGAAACACAGTTTGTACTCCTAAATGCCATACAGCTATCACTACTATCTACAGTTCATAGTAATGAATATATATATATATATATATATATATATATATATATATATATTGTAATTACGTTAAGTTATTACCAGAAGACAAATATAAGCAGCTATTATAATATTAGGAGTAAATAATGAAAGTAAATCGATATATTTACTCCTGGCAATGCACCACTCACATAAACCTCGCACTGTAATAATTATATGTCCCTGACAGTGCGAATCTCACGTAAATGCACACTCAAATCATTACACTCAGTTTTTAATTTAACACAGTGGGGTCGCTCTCCTCGAATAAAGTTTATCCTTGACAATTAACTGCTGCTACGATCACCGTGGCAACGCAGGGCGTTGAAACGCCTCTGTGGCTTTACTTTTCCTCGGCTAGTGGAGCGGACGAAGATCGGGCAGACGACACAGCGCGGCAGTTGTACGTGCCAAACTTCTTGCCATACGACATGGCGTTCGCGAGGTTTGAGTAAACGTCCAGCGACAGACTGTTTGCTGTTGCCAGTGAGCTTGTGCTGAAATGCAGGACACGCTGCGAGTTTAGTTAAATGTACACGGCAGGCAGACAGATGCAATAAACACAGACCCGTCTCGTCTGCGTTTGCGGCAGGCTCATATTTGAGTAACTTTACACGTAAACACACGTAACGCATAATTATATTAATGGAAATGAATGGCAAAAGCTTTTGATCCCAGCTATCATGCATGAGTGAGTGTGTGTGCATGCATGAGCTCCGTGCACATGTGGTATAAATTGTCTGTATGCATACATAATACTATGATATAGAAAATGTTTAACTTTCTATTAATTCATAAACTTGTACACAATGGCGATACATTGGCCATACCAGGATTGTTGCCATGATTATAGCCAGTTCACAAAGTCTGATATATTGTAAGCAGAAATTAGTAATAGACATACATATATCAGCATGGAAGTGTCTTTTATTTTTTCTAGCAATTCTTTCCGATCATGCCGTACGGTGCATTTTTAGGGTGTAAGCCCTTATCAATCTTGGTGGTGTACTGTAAGCAAAATGGTTAAGAAAAGTTGTAAACAAACAGTCAATGATAGTGTAAAGCTTAATATATACACAATCAAGCATTCAGGATATGACTATAATAAACGTATTGATATATATGACTATATGCTGGGCACATTCTACAATGTTATGTTAGGTTTGTGATTGGGTGCATGTCTTAGGCATATTGTATACAATATATGAACCTTAAAATAATGGCAGTGAGTGGGTGTTATGTCTTGTATATTGTGTGCTGTTCAATAATGCCTATGAGCGAGGAGTGTGACTAGGTGTAACTGTATAACGTAGGATTTCTATAATGGTTAGGAGTGTATGCAGTGTCTGTATACATTGTGCAGCATAGAACGTTTCACAATGCGCTGTTCACTTCTCCAGGCCGCTTCACTGGTACGGAAACCTGATGAGGAAAAGCATAACCACTAGCAACCAGTCCTTGTTGCCATCCGAAAACATCATAAGATGTGCTTCATACTCGGACTCATACAAGCAGGTCACTGAGCCAAGGACATGTAGGGGTGACTTCTCCAATTCTTGCTCTGATCATTCAAAGCATTTAAAGTGGCACAATGCCAGTAGCTTTAAAGACAAACATTAAAAAAGTGTAAAACGATAATATGGTCGGTGAACAAATTACATTAATGGGCTAATTCGTTAATATATTTCCATTATTTGTTTATACATTCAAACGCACTCCATCATATTATATGATGTGTTTATAATATATTCTGGACATTTAACTATTATGAAATAAAATATCCACACCTTTTAAAATAGGTAACAGCATACAAAGAGGTATCTTATGTGTTAAGGCGTGTACATTCGGAAACCATATGTAGGATAAACTCACAGTGTTGAAATGATTATTCAGCACATATTCATAATTCTGTCTTCCTTTGGTAGCAAGTCCCTGCGAGCTCAATGCGTTTGCCCATTTGCTTCTCAGTTGGACCTACAACGTGTCACGAACAGAGGTGTGATGTCCACGGCGAAGATTTCGTAATATTCGTTATATGTTTTGATGGCGTTGAGCGGCCAAGACAAATGCGGCGTCGGGTTTAGCATGGGTTGACTTACGTAATACCTGCCACCAGCGTTTTCCAACACAATGTGGGAGAATTTCTTTCGTACTTCAGCGTTGAGGCGCACATCTTCATGCCGCTGCGTTCCTTCGGCTGCATGCTGGATTGAAACTCGCTTCTTCGTGGACGACATTTACACTGGATATATATAGGCACTGAATGCGAACGAACGAATTATATATGCACTGTGGATTTTATTGGATTGCAGTATGGCCGTTACATCACAGAGTTAGATCATAAAATTACACCGACGGAGAAACGAACTCCTGTTGAAATCACAGAAATTTAGGAAATTCTATTACGCCGAACTGATTCACGCAAAACTGCAATGATCATCTAAAATACGTTGTTTCACACTTCCCACTCTCTCCCCCTTCAGCAGTAGTATTGCGCGGTTGGTCGGCGTCAGATCTTACCATGTTGATCTTCCCGAGGACGCCACACTGAAAAGGTCCCAGAGAACGGAGAGTTGTAGTCGACCTCTACGCAACCGTGCTGGCCCACCACTCGAGATGCACAGCTCCAGCGAGCAGACGCCCCCTGCAAGAGAAAACAGCGAGCCACATGCTACGGGACTGTATTCTCATCGATATCCCAACCGTAATCGTCACATGGTCAACGTTAAGGTGAAGTGGACCACCGGATGTCAGGAAACTGCTCTTAAGCTACGCAAATTAGCTATCGAATAGCACCCTCTGCTGTCATCACCATTAAATTGACGTATCGGTACGGTGGAGCAGGCAAACCACGTCCGATGAACCTCTCCGGGTTCGCATGACAATATTACGATTCTAATAGATTGCGCCACGAATTATGACTTGAGCAATAGAGAATTCCCATTGTTAATTATGTTATGTTATTAACATATTCTAACGTTGCAATATTCTATTACTGTAGTCAATAAAGAGCGTGTACGGGATTAGAACTTAGATTGCATCTAGGTTTGTTTGCGGTTTTTTAAAAATGTTCTGCACGATTTGCAAGCCAGGGAGTACACGACCCTAAGTATTCATAGTTTCACAGTACATTGATACGCCAGATATCGCTTACGTCGGATAACCTTATAAACATGCCGAATCATGGTTCCAAAACGTGTGCCAAATTACGCACGCTAACCGCCCGCTAAATACCGAGAAAGAGTTAAGTTTTTGCCGAAGGTGCATGACTAGAGTACTTCATACGATTAGCTATGCAGTATAAATGTCTTCTGTGTAATTACTATGCGATCTTCAGAATTTACAATGCGACTCTGACAGTTACAACTATTGCCGCTCGCAGCCTGACTGTTGTATGGCGACTTAAGCGCAATTACACAGGGCACAGGCGAATCAATGTCACAGTCGTAGCGCGGAGTTTTATATTGTAATTACGTTAAGTTATTACCAGAAGACAAATATAAGCAGCTATATATAATATTAGGAGTAAATAATGAAAGTAAATCGATTATTTACTCCTGGCAATGCACACTCACATAAACCTCGCATGTAATAATTATATGTCCCTGACAGGCGAATCTCACGTAATGCACACTCAAATCATTACACTCAGTTTTAATTAACACAGTGGGGGTCGCTCTCCTCGAATAAAGTTTATCCTTGACAATTAACTGCTGTCTACGATCACCGTGGCAACGCAGGGCCGTGAAACGCCTGTGTGCTTACTTTTCCTCGGCTAGTGGAGCGACGAAGATCGGGCAGACGACACAGCGCGGGCAGTTGTACGTGCCAAACTTCTTGCCATACGACATGGCGTTCGCGAGGTTTGAGTAAACGTCCAGCGACAGACTGTTGCTGTTGCCAGTGAGCTTGTGCTGAAATGCAGACACGCTGCGAGTTAGTTAAATGTACACGGCAGGACAGATGCATAAAACAGACCCGTCTCGTCTGCGTTTGCGGGCATCATATTTGAGTAACTTTACACGTAAACACACGTAACGCATAATTATATAAATGGAAATGAATGGCAAAGCTTTGATCCCAGCATATATGCATGAGTGAGTGTGTGTGCATGCATGAGTCCCGTGCACATGTGTATAAGATTGTCTGTATGCATACATAATACTATGATATAGAAAATGTTTAACTTTCTATTAATTCTAAACTTGTACAAATGGCGATACATTGGCCATACCAGGTGTTGCCATGATTATAGCCAGTTCACAAAGTCTGACATATTGTAAGCAGAAATTAGTAATAGACATACATATATCAGCATGGAAGTGTCTTTTATTTTTTCTAGCAATTCTTTCCGATCATGCCGTACGTGCATTTTTAGGGTGTAATCGCCCTTATCAATCTTGGTGGTGTACTGTAAGCAAAATGGTTAAGAAAAGTTGTAAACAAACAGTCAATGATAGTGTAAAGCCTTAATATATACACAATCAAGCATTCAGGATATGACTATATAAACGTATTGACTATATATGACTATATGCCTGGGCACATTGTACAATGTTATGTAGGTTTGTGATTGGGTGCATGTCTAGGCATATTGTATAATATATGAACCTTAAAATAATGGCAGTGAGTGGGTGTATGTCTTGGTATATTGTGTGCTGTTAATAATGCCTATGAGCAGGAGTGTGACTAGGTGTAACTGTATAACGTAGGATTTCTTATAATGGTTAGGAGTGTATGCGTGTCTGGATACATTGTGCAGCATAGAACCGTTCACAATGGCTGTTCACTTCTCCAGGCGCTTCGCTGGTACGAACCTGATGAGGAAAAGCATCACCACTAGCAACCAGCTCCTTGTTGCCATCGAAAAGCATCCATAGTTGTGCTTCATACTCGGACTCATACAGCAGGTCACTGAGCCAAGGACATGTAGGGGTGACTTCTCCATTCTTGCTCTGTATTCAAGCATTTAAAGTGGCACAATGCCAGGTAGTTTAAAGACAAACACAAAAAGTGTAAAAACGTAAAATTGTAGGTGAACAAATTACATACATGGGTAATTCGTTAATTATTTCCATCTATTGGTTTATACATTCAAACGCACTCCATCTATATATGATGTGTTTATAGTATATACTGGATTTAATATTATGAATAAAATATCCACACCTTTTAAAAAAGGTAACAGCATACAAAGAGGTATCTTATGTGTTAAGGGTGTACATAGGAAACCATATGTAGATAAACTCACCAGGTGAAATTGATATGTCAGCACATATTCATAAATCTGTCTTCCTTCTGGTAGCAAGTCCCTGGAGCTCAATGCGTGCCATTTGCTCTCAGTTGGCCTACAACGTGTCATAGAACAGAGTGTGATGTCCAACGGAAGTTTTTCGTTAATATTCCGTTATATGTTTTGCATGGGGGTTGAGCGGCAAGACAAATGCGGCGTCGGTTTTAGCATGGGTTGACTTACCGTAATACCTGCACCAGGGTTTTCAACACAATGCTGGGAGAAATTTCTTCGTACTTCAGCGTTGAGCGCACATCTATGCGCGCGATTCCTTCGGCTGCATGCTGGATGAAACTCCGCTTCTTCTGTGGACGACATTACACTCGGATATATATAGCACTGAATGCGAACGACCGAATTATATATGCACTGTGGATTGTAATTGGATGCAGTATGGCCGTTACATCACAGATTAAATCATAAATTACACCGACGAGAAACGAACTCTGTTGAAATGCACAGAAATTTAGGAAACTTCTATTACGCGAACTGATCACGCTAAACTGGAAATGATCATCTAAAATAACGTTTTTAAACTTCCCACCTCTCCCCCCTCAGCAGTAGGTATTGCGCGGTGGGTCGGCGTCAGATCTTACCATGTTGATCTCCCGAGACGCCACCTGAAGGCCCGAGAACGAGAGAGTGTAGTCGACCTCTACGCAACCGATGCTGGCCCACCACTTCGAGATGCACAGCTCCAGCGTAGAACCGCCCTGCAAGAAGAAAACAGGCGAGCCACATTGCTACGGGCTGTTCTCATCGATTCCAACACGTAATCGTCACATGTCAACGTAAGGTGAAGTGACCACCGGATGTCCAGGAACTGCTCTAAGCTACGCAAATTAGCCTATCGAATGCACCCTGCTGTCATCACCATTAAATTGACGTATCGGATACGTGAGCAGCAAACCCACGTCCCGATGAACCTCTCCGGGTCGCATGACGATATTACGATTCTAATTAGATTGCGCACGAATTATGACTTGAGCAATAGAGAATTCCCATTGTTAATTATGTTTATTTATTAACATATTCTAACGTTGCAATATTTCTATTACTGTAGTCAATAAAGAGCGTGTACGGGATTAGAACTAGAGTTGCATTAGAGTTTGTTTGCGGTTTTTTAAAATGTTCTGACGATTTGCAACCAGGGAAGTAACACGACCCTAGTTTCATAGTTTCACAGTACATTGATACGCCAGATATCGCTTACGTCGGATAACCTTATAAACATGCCGAATCATGGTCCAAACGTGTGCAAATACGACGCTAACCGCCCGTAAACATACGAGAAAGAGTTAAGTTTTGCCGAAGGTGCATGACTAGAGTACTTATACGATTAGCTATGAGTATAAAATGCTTCTGTAAATTACTATCGATTTCAGAATTTACTGCTGAACTCTGACAGTTACAACTATTGCCGCTCGCAGCTGACTGTTGTATGGGACAAGCGCAATTACACAGGGCACAGGCGAATCAATGTCACAGTCGTAGCGGGAGTTTTCCGTGTGGCAATGCTGGAGGTAATTCATTTTGCAATTTCTTTATGCAATTTCTTGGATCGGGTAGACACATTTACTGCTTCTGCTGAACATCAAAGCTTTGCGAATATCAAACGCAACGAATAAAAAAACAAACAACGAATTTGGCAACTTATGTGCAATTTTCCTCTAGAACTAAGCAGACGAGAAACGCCACTATGACTTCACTCAATTAGGGACGGGTGTACAAATCTATCTAACAGTGGAACTTGGTCAAAACGTTTGTCCCCAATCGCGACGAGCTTCTGATTCGACCAGATAACATTGCTATGCTGACCAATGAATGCTACGTTCTCTTGTTTGCATACAGAGAAAAAAAAACATGTATAAAATCTCACTTAGTCAATCACAAAGACAACGACAAATTTTCCAATGTGGAAAATAGATTGCGCCCAAAAAGCCAATCGACTATTCCCGTTTCTCACATGCGTGTGCATGCATCACTCGCTGATGCCAACAACAACTCAGAGAGCCAAATTACTCCGGAACATTAAAACCGTTTACGATTTGTGCCAATTTACCATTGCTTTACTTGCATTCATCCATTCCAGTAACGAGCTAATATATTAAACACATGCATAGAGCATTTCTAATCCGCTGGCCACATCTGCTGCATGCTGCTGCTACTGTTACTATAGCGTGAAACCATCGCCCACCTACAACTATGCAGAGGGGAAATTACAAGCGTGAAACCCTACATCACCTGCAACTATGCAAGGGGGGATCAAAAGAATTATCTGCACGCGTGGGAATAACGGCCAGCTCTATAAGCAAAATAGTTCAAATATCGAAAATCATAACATATGGCTCGGGCCTAGTGGCGCCTGTTTTACGTGGAAGCACAAACAGTCAATCTACACCAGCACCTATATAAGCGTAGCTTATTTCACACAGAACCACTAGGTACCTATTTGCTGCATCCCCTAATGGTTTGCCGAGGGTTTCATATGACGATCTCGTTATTATTTAATACGGCATATTATAATGAAAGTGTCAGCGACAACACATCCCAAATTGTGGATAACCATAAGTAGTTGGCCCATGCAGCCAACAGCAATTACATAGGATCACAGTACGTGGACACAGTGTCACATAAGAGTTAAGAGTCGGTGCTATAGTGTATCTAATCCATCTGCTTTCTCATTTATCTTGAACCGATGGACCTACAATCGTGGAAGATGTATTCAATGCCCATTGGCTTGGCAAACACCATTGAGTCGCTAAGCATGGCGGTACATGTCGGAAAGATCCAAAATAAATCGCCCTTGCTAGTTACTATGTAAAATGTTTGGAAGCAAAAACCGATAATTAAGTTAGGAGTGTGTATACAACATTTTTAACGTTGCTTACATTGTAAGAACGCGTTTGCACCCTGGAAGCTGAGAAACGAATTAAAACAGACTTTGAACATGTGGTCCGATCTAAGGCAATAAGCTTTCCTCTTTTTTTTTCTACCGCTGACAGGCATGTATTTACACCATCCAAGAAGTAAACATAATAAACAGTAAAAACCTAAACAGTTTGGCAGTTTTAAATGCCTGGTGCGAAATAAATAAAATGGCCACTTTGTATTTATTGGAAAACGAATTTGACCGTTTGCGAAAATAAATTATTGTGGATGAAAAAAATCAGAGCAGCCAGTCAAGGTCATGCTGGGGTGCCATAACCATAGAAATGGGACTAAACACATTTCAACAGAATTTGCCTGAACCAATTCCAATTTGTCCAATTCCAATTCCAATTCCAATTCCAATTTCCATTCCTGAATTTCCAACAGAATTTGCCTCAATGCTTTACGAGTATGCAAGAACCCTCAAACTGAAAATGGTTGAGGCACATATAAAAGGCGGCTACTGCATACTTCGTTGCTTATAAAACACTTTCAATTAAATTCGCTTACAACGGAAAGAACGCCACAATTCATTCTGTAAGTTCATAAGCGACTGCAGCCAGCCTGCAGTAAGGCTGGGGTCAGTCGTTAACGCCTGCAGTGTGGCTGGGGTCAGTCGTTAACGCCTGCAGTGTGGCTGGGGTCAGTCGTTAACGCCTGCAGTGTGGCTGGGGTCAGTCACTAACGCCTGCGATGTAGCTGGGGTCAATCGTTAACGCCTGCAGTGTGGCTGGGGTCAGTCACTAACGCCTGCGATGTAGCTGGGGTCAATCGTTAACGCCTGCAGTGTGGCTGGGGTCAGTCACTACTCTCTTCTCTCTCTCTCTACTCTCTCTCTCTCTTCTCTGCTCTCTGTCTCTCTCTCTCCTTCCCTCTGTGACGCTCCGTCCATCGTAACGAGCACGCCAAAACATATATCGCCACGCGGGAGTTAGCTAGTAAGTACACAGCGGGACTACATGATTACCAAATATAGGCTTTACGATTTTCCGGGCTCATGTGGTAGCAGATATAAACGCCAGACATCGCTCTGTGAAAGGCCGACAAGGCCATCGCGATTTGGTTTTATACGCAGGGATATTAAGATAGGCATTTTCAGCAAAGCGATTTTTCGTCAAGCGCTAAATAACATCAGTGTTATGCTGACGTGCCATATATATATATATAAAACGTTATCTAAAAGGATGTAGCCGCGAGCACACTAAATATATGAATGATTAAG